AAACAATCTGACATAATGACAGACAGACGACAGACAGAGAGAATGGGGGGGGGAGGACTTTGTAGATGTCATCACCCTTTAAAACGACAAATAACACTTGTAAACCACACTATAAATAAGATTTTATCTGCTAATAAAACAACCCAGCTTATCAACATAATCCAATTAATCCTGAGAATTAAGATAAACAGTTGGTTCTCTATAAATTCTTTGCGTTTGATATTATCACTGTCGTTTTACTATTGCTACTTGTATTATCATATTATCATTACTTTTATCATTATCATCATTAGTATCATCGTTATCATCATTATCATTACTTTTATCATTATCATCATTAGTATCATCGTTATCATCATTATCATTACTTTTATCATTATCATCATTAGTATCATCGTTATCATCATTATCATTACTTTTATCATTATCATCATTAGTATCATCGTTATCATCATTATCATTACTTTTATCATTATCATCATTAGTATCATCGTTATCATCATTACTGTTTCTGTTACCATCTTTATCAGCATTATCATTACAACCTTTGTCATCATTTTCATTAATGCTATTACTTCATTAATAACATGGTTATTATCATCAGCTTTATCATGGTGATGAAAATTATTGCTAGTTATAGTATAACTCTTATTGTTATAATTTTCGTCGTGATGGTTATTGCCTTTACTAGTATCATTATCAGAAATATTTGAAATACTAGTAATTATCCCCATCAGATATACTCCACAAGTTTAAGATTTAAATGTAATAGTTTATGCCATTTTCTTTATCAAACAAACAAATGACCAGCCAAGAAAGAAAGAAAGAGAGAGAGAGAGAGAGAGAGAGAGAGAGAGAGAGAGAGGGAGAGAGAGAGAGAGAGAGAGAGAGAGAGAGAGAGAGAGAGAGAGAGAGAGAGAGAGAGAGAGAGAGAGAGAGAGAGAGAGAGAGAGAGTGAGTGAGAGTGAGAGAGTGAGTGAGAGTGAGTGAGAGTGAGTGAGAGTGAGTGAGAGTGAGAGAGTGAGAGAGTGAGAGAGAGAGAGAGAGAGAGAGAGAGAGAGAGAGAGAGAGAGAGAGAGACAGACAGACAGACAGAGACAGAGAAACAGAGACAGAGAGATGAATATAGTAAGAAGAAGGGAGAGAATAAAATGTAAGTTTTGAGACCTCGTATCTGTGATGTTTTTAGTCTTCAATGCTTTTCTGGCATCACCTGTTCCCACGGCCACAGAGATTTGCTTGTTGCAGAAAGTGATACATTTTCTTTATATACGTTCATTTTCATTTTCTTACGATGTCTTTATATACATTCCTTTGTATTTTCTTATATCATGAACTACATCTTTATCAAGTGATTCTTTTCTTCCTTTCACGTAATAGATGCAGTTACACACGAATCCATGCACTGATCACAGTTCATAGTCATTTTCAGAGCAGTTGCTTGCATGTGTACCACTTAAGACGGCTCCTTGACTTTGTTATTTCGTCGAAGAGCACGGTTTTATTTCTTGCGCTTATTCTATCAGCATTCTCAAACTTCATAACAATTATACTATACGTCTGAAACTTCGGAATAAACTATGACACATCTCTGTAGCTTTGGAGGAACGGCGACCCATGCCTCTGAAAACTCTAGGAGTAGGATACTCAAAAGAGCCTTAAAGTTACGGCGCGCTCGGAGCCTTTACTGTTCTGAGGCGACTTAGATCAGGGTTCGGCAAAGGCGCAGTATCTCGGACTCAGCTTCGTAAAAATAAATATTTTTTTCCGTTGCAGTATTCCCGCCTTCAGACCATGCACCGCCGTAAATCACTAAGGTCGTCGGATCTGCTGCTGTTTAGAAACCTGTTTGGGAATCTTGACCATTTACTAGCCGTAAATGCTAATCAGAATTGTTTGTAAACTTTCCAGAGTTAGATTCTTTATCCAAAATACCCTGACCATATTATCGGAATGCATAAGTATCGAGAAATATAGGAACGAAGTATTATCTCCTCGAGAGGTTGGCTAATATTAAAAGGGTAATTTTAGCATGCTTTGAATTTTCTACCTATTCCCAATTTAACAGATAACACTTAGAATAAGTTTTGAAGGTTTAACTATATCTGCACCTTTTTTTTTCTCTGAATCTTCATGATGCTCACCCATCCTCCTCAAACGACGATAATAACATTGAGAGTATTGATATTAACAGTATATTAACATAAATGAAAATAAAAGCAAATAAAACATTACATCTGATGAGAAAACAGTACTCATGTTAGTTTTAGTGCAATCCTTGATTAAAGATACAACACGGATTGGAGTGTGATACAAGTTTATTGGCAAAAGCAGTGGATAGTTGTATTGAAATGTCAACGCCTGCCTTATTTACTAGTCCACGATTGGTTCATGCACTACATTTGAGCAAAACAAATTGTAAGGTTGTAGAAATTATTTTAAGGCTGGAAAATGCAATTACTGCCTTGCTCTACACGGAACAATCATAAAGAACTGAGGC